TTAATTGTTGTTTTAAATTTTTTTTTAATTTTAAAGATAAAAGAACGAAAACATTAGCAGACACAGACATTTACAAAATAACACAAAAAACAGTACAAGCAATACATATTTTCAGACAGGGTGATAGGAAATTAACAGTGGTTGAATTACATATTGATATGTTCAAATTGGTTACTCAGATAAATATAGGCAGGTGAGCTTGATCAAACAATTAAGCATTAACTGGTCCTTTCAATAAAGTAATAGAAGTCAGTGTCTTAGCTATCTTAGCTGTCCTGTGTATACATACATACATATTTTTCCCTTCTTTCTTTCTTTTCTCTTTTCCCTCATTCCAGTTTTTCCTTCCTTTGAGCAATTTCTTTTCCTTTTATAGTATCTATTGTACCTTTTAGATTTTATTCACTGTTTCAGGTTCTTAAACTAGTAAGACAATACGGTGTTTACACATGTGGGTCTGATTTATTTCACTTGAGCATGGTCTCTAATTGTGGTCATTCACCTATAAAAGCCCCAAGTTTATCTTTCTTTATAGCTGAGTAATATTCCATTATATAAAATTACCACAGCTTTTTTATACATTCCTCAGTGGATGGACATTTGGGTTGCTTCCACAATTTAGCAATTACAAATTGTGCTGCTATAAACATGGGTGCACATATATCACTGTGACATGATGTTTTTAGTTTTTCTGGAAAATTACTCAGAAGGGAAATAGCTGGGTTGAATGTGACTTCTAATCCTAGTTTACTGAGGAATCTCTAAACTGATTTCCACAGTGGTTTTACCAGTCTACACTCCCACCAGCAGTGGAGAAGAGTTCCTTTTTCCCACAGCCTCTCCAGCATTTGCTGTTAGTTGATTTCTTGATGACAGCCATTGTTTGTGGGATGAGATGGAATCTCAGTGTTGTTTCAATTTGCATTTCTCGAATGACTAATGATGTTGAACATTTTTTCATGTATTTATTTGGCATCTGTTTTCCTTATCTGAGAAGTATGTATTCATCTCAGGTGCCCATTTTTGGATTGTGTCTTTGAATTTGGGGGGCCTGATTTTTTAAATTCTTTATATGTTCTAAATAGAAGTCCTTTGTCTGAGGGACAGTTGGAGCTCCTTAATTTGAAAAGGGCATATTTTCATGTGTAAGAAAATAGTTTGACTATTTCTTTTCTCTATACTTTATTGTGTATTGTTCTTTTATTACTCCTCATAAAAGTTCATCAGGCTAGCTATGGTGGTGTATGCCTGTAATTCTAGCACTTGGAAGGCAGAGGCAGGAGGATTGCTGTAAGTTTAAGACCAGCCTGGGCTATATAGTGACTTTAAGGCCGTCCTTAACTACATAGTAAGATCATGTTCAAAAAATCAAAAAACCAGAAACAAGCGAGCCAACCAACAAACCAAACAAACATTCATAAGGCTTTGCCAGTTTTCAGTTGCAGGTAGAAGTTACTGGGCAGGATTTAGGTATAAATGAATTTAAAACACTTTAAGAAAATACAAACCACTGAGGTGGACTCCACTAGGGACTTGCGTCTCAGACTGTGGCCCTCCCATCCTCCATGTCTTCACTCCTCAGCCATCTGCAGCATCAGCACCACCTGGGAACTTTTGCTGGAAATTTAAATTCTCAGGCTTACTTAGAAGCTCTGAGTGGTGAGGCTCAGAAGTCTAGTTTCATAAGCCCTCTAGATGATCTTTAGGCAAGCTATGGTTTGAAAAAGAATACTAGAGGGTACCAAGTCAAGAACTAAGCAAAGCCTGTTTGTAGTTGGGTTTACTGTCTAGAGGAAAGGCAGATGTGACAGCTCAGAGTGCAGATATATATATATATATATATATATATATATATATATATATATAGATAGTGAATGAATATATATATATAATTATTATTTAAAAATTAGTTTCACTCACTATAATAAAAAGTGAATTCAGCCTAGAATTCGCTGAGTAAGAAAAACTTAGAAATGAGGAGAGAGGGTTGTTCTGGACCACGAGCACTGTGATCCTGATCAAATTCTGTGCTTAAAGTGTTTTAACCATTGCACAGATTCATGGGTTAAAGTGACGTTGGTGGTGTGAGTTAAGAAGCTAACCAGTTCCAGACAACCATCTTTTAGGAGATTTTTAGAGCACAGTTGTTAAATGTTCTTAATGGTTTCTCGATGTGAAGATAACTTGATTTCTGTGGAGAGCTGTAGATCTTTAGATTTTCAAAGGTTCATTTTAAAAGGCCACAATGTTTCAGTCCAATTTATTATTTAAAAATTAGTTTCATTTGACATAGTCATTGAGTCCATTAAGGGCAAAGTATTTATTTTTGTAGGGAGTTTAGAAAGGGCAGTGTGTATAAGTAGTTTTATGATACTACTGATGAACTTCAGTGATATAGAAGTTTTATTTAATTCTGAAAGTCCCCCAAATAAATTGAAGTTTAACTCAGTTTAATAACAATTACTGCACAACATATTTAACAAATGCTAATAAATTACAAAAATAATGTGTTACAGCTACTGAAGGCGCACAGGTGTTTTATCTACTAAAGTTTAGAAATCAGCCTTTTCGAGAAAATGTTACTGTGACAGTACAGGATACTATTGTGTTAAGACTGTGATCTGTAAAAGATTAAAGCTAATGTTTGTGGACTCATGGCTTTTGTCAGCCAAACTTCGAGTAGAATTATTTAAAAATTCAAAGTTGAACTCTACCCCATACATTGGAGTATGATTAAGACACAACTTTAGATTGATGTTATTTGGAAAAACAGCAATTTTTACTTGATTCTTCTCTTGCATTCTGTATTTATTTTTTGGATCATTTTAGTTTATGCTTTTGAAATAGTATAAAAAATAGTCTGAAGTTTTTTAGGTTGGATTGTATTTTATCCTACTCATCCTTCTCTGAATTAGGAGTCCTTTCTTACAGTGGCCCTCTTTTTGTCAGCTACTCAGTTCCATTTGTAACAGTCTGCATTTGTGTGTGTGTGTGTGTGTGTGTGTGTGTGTGTGTGTGTGTACCCTCGTGATCTTGGGAAGACTGTCTATCCCTGTAAAACTGCCTGCATTCCTAAGAGGAAATCTAGTGTAGGGCAGAACAGTTGTACTGAATCATTTCAAAAGTCACTGGAAATTGGATGTGTTGGTTTCTCTTGGGTTAGTCTTCTTCAGGGAAGAGGAGGTGGGATCGTGTTCTGCCTCTGCCTAGGATACCATCTGTCTAGATTGTGGTGGTCCAAGCTTTTGGCTTGCCCAGGCTATCTTGAATGGTGAGGAATTGTCTTGGATTACATATGAAGTATAAAATATAGTTAATGTATGGAACAAAACTTCCTTTTTATGTTTTAACATGTTAAATTATTTTATAAAATAATACAAGCCTAAGTTTAAGAATTAAATGATAAACCTTACATGTCTGTTTCACTCCATCCTAGCCAAAATACCAAGGAAGCAGTACATACTTAATAACTGTAAACACCTATCTTCACAGGCACCCATACATGTAGGTAGGTTGAAATACTGTTATAGATCATTGCTGCATGTTACTCCCCAGGTTGTACAAGTGCAGGTAATGAATGATTCATGACTTTGATTCACCTGTGTATGGTGGACACAGGGGGCAAAGTTAGCACTGTGCTGTGCCCTTCCCTACATCCATTCTGTTGTTCCCTATAGAGTCTGAGGTTGAGCACTGTACAGTTAAGTCATACAAAATATCACTAAAAATTACACAATAACATTAAAAGCATATGATCTTGTGGGCTTGTATTACTAGCTGTCCAGAGCTGCATACAGCCCATGGGCTGAGGATTGGACAGGGCTGATGTGTGTAATTGCTTTAGTAGGAGCATAGGGTTGATAGTTTCTTGCAGAATGAATGGGTAATTATAACAGGTATTTGAACCAATTTACTTAAACTGTATACTTTTTAAATGTAACACCTACATTTCTTATCTCAAGTTGTAACTCCACATAAGTGAAATTGAGGAAAGAATTGGCAGTGGTCAGTTTTGTAGTAGTATATTTACTATGATATTCATCTCTGTAGCCATACAATGACATGTCACATCTGCCTGTAATAGGGCTATGGTGTGAAAAATTCAGTCCTATAGTATTTGAGATCAAACTGCCTGATGAATTTGTTACTATAAACTTACTCATCAATATAGGATTTAATGGTAGCATATCTGTATTTATTCACACAATACCTTTGGGTGGACACACAAGAAACTGGACCTTCGTTGCCCCTAGGAAAAGAATACCTCATGTTGGAGGTCTGAGATGGTTGGTGTATTCTTTTATTCTATCTGAATTTTGTTCTTTGTATGAGAGTTACCCCAACAATAGCAGAGCACTAAAAAGTAAATAAAGAAAAGCCACAAAATAAATAGTAGTAAAGGGAAAAACAAATGGAAAAAGCAGATACTCTATGAATATAATTCTGGGTAAGTATAATCTGGTGGGTTCTATTTGAATTTCTTCTCATAATTGCTAAGCTCTTTTACTTGATTGATGGCTAATTCTAATTTGATTAGAATTCTAATTTGATTAGAATTCTTTTCCAGGTGGTACTTATATTGATATTAATATTTTATCTTCTTCGTGTTCCTTTCAACTTGAAATGCTGTAAGAGATTTTCCTGGTTTTTTATTGAAATGAAATCCGTTCTTTGATTTGGAATGAAAGTTAGAAGTGTTACTTCATGAATTAAAGGACTGTGTGTGAGTATTCTTCCACTGATAATAACCAAGATAAGATTTTTTGAGGTATCTTATATGAATTTACTTTATGGGTTCTTACTTTAAATAATGTGCTTTAATTTCTTCCCAGATTTTCATGTCTGAATCTGTTGATTAAATTCATTTTTAATGTTTCATTTTAAAAAGAATGGGAACTTTACCAAATCTTTTTACTTAACATGGATTATGTTCAAGTGTTAGGATATAGTTATAGCATTGTATTTTAAAAATTTACACATTTCCTTTTTCTTTTTTTACTCTGCAGCCGGCCTCAGAAAGTGTGTTTGTGTCCATTTCTACCAGCACACCCTTTGCACATCTCTACCCACTTGTATATAATTCAGCATCCAGCAGAGGTAAGATTTGGTAAACTATACAATTTCAAATAAAATAAGGCACAAGAAGAAACATACACATAGAGACACTCATCCTTCCCAGCCCTTTAGCATTTCTGAAAAGGGTAATACATATTTACTCTTCAGGAAAAAGTTTATATATATGATATGATAGGATAGAGTCAGACCATTTAGAGATAGATAATATTTAACAAACTGTTATTGCATAGTACAGAAATTTAGAACCCCAGAATGTCAAATGAAGGTACAATTTTTTGAGAAAAGAGTTAAGAAAATCACCGTTTTCTAAAAGTTTGGCCGTAGCTTATGTCATTTGATGTCTTTTCTTGTTAAAGTAAAAGTAACTTTGGCATTTTAGTCTTACAAAGTGAATATGTAAGTAAATTTTGGGTTTCTTTTAGAAGAACAAAACAGATTTGTATATTTTATGTTATATGTTATATTTAAAGACTTTTTAATTAATACTTTCCTATTCTGGCTAGAAAGTTATAGTAAACTAAATTACACTTAACACAAAGCTATTCAACATAGAGTATAAATGGAGTTAATGTAAACCGGAGTTAAAACGCAGTATTAAGGAACTCAGGATACTTTAAATCCAGTCTCCTTGTAAAATTTTTTTTATTTTTTAGTACATTTTAGATAAACATAATAACATTCATCATAGGGAATTTGTATCTGTATATCTTGCTTCTTTTTTCTCATTCCTCTTCCCTGCCTTCAACGCTGCTTCTCGTCCTTATTAACAAAAGCTTTGTTTACTTTTTTTCTTCTTTTTTTTTTCTTGTCCCTTCTTTCCCCTTCCCCAATCTCACCTTTGAAGAAGAATAATTGTTTAACTTTCAGAGCCTTTTTTAATTGAAGACTTTAATAAAGATATAAAGTAAATTAATTTGTCTTTTTCTTTTTCCTTTTTTTTTTTTTTTTTTTGGTTTTTTTTTTCTGGTACCGGGGATTGAACTCATGGCCTTGCGCTTGCCTGGCAGGTGCTGTGCCGCTGAGCTAAATCTCCATTCCCCAGCTAAATCCCTAGCCCCCTTCTTTTTCCAATGATGAAACATTTTTTCTTTTATTGCAAATTATTAAATATTCCATTGGTTGAGCAACTTTTAAAGCTTTTTAAAATTTTTTTCTTTTTTTATACCAGACTTTGAAAGTCTTAACAACACCACACTTTTTTTTAGGATTCCAGCAATTTGGTCATAAAAATTATATTAACAGCATCTGTGCTTATAACATGGTGTAGCTCAAACTTACAATTACAGCTTGCTGGCCACAGCAGTTTTGTTGAAGAGTTTTAATTGCAAATACTGTTTTCATTTTACAGTATATATAATATGGTGCCTTTTCATTTTTATGTTGTTCCAGACATGATAGCTTTTAAAATGTGGATGTGTTCATTGATTTGTGACAATTTTAGTCTTTTCAAATCACCAAAAGTTTTTTTAGCATGATTAATTTATAATTTAGAAAAAAAAAATCTGTCTAAAATAGTGTGTACCAGAAATGTGAATTATGTGTGTACAAGTATATTCATATTTTTCCTTACTGAAAAGGAACTACAGTCTTCTTTTAATTCACCAGTACCGGGCTATATGTGCTTAACTTCAGCAAACTGTTTTTAATAAAAGGATATGCCAGCTTGATGTCACCACCATAAAAATGGTTAAAAACCATTTGGAAAGACTCTAGAAGGGAATGCTGGGAAAAGACCCAATGGAACAGATCATATAAGGTGATATGATAGAGGCTTCAAAATATAGGTGTATGAATGTGGAAAATACTTAAGGATAAAAGCAGCAGGTTGGGCCAGAGGTATAGCTCAGTGGCACAGCACCTGCCTGACAAGTGTGAGGTCCTGAGTTCGATTCCAGATACAAAAAAAAAAAAAAGCAGTAGGTTAACTCAAATACAAAAAAAAGCTTTACAAAAGAGCAATGTTAAACTCTGTAGCCTTTTGTGAACAGTGTATATTTAGCTATAATGACATACATATTATTCATTTAAGTGGTTTAGCTTGACCGCTTAACAGTGTGCCTGAGCATCACGGGCTGTGTGTGTGTTTATGTACTGACTAACCTGAGTGTGGCTTGGGTAGGTGTCATGTCAGTTGGTTCTTGTTGAATAAATTTGATAAAATTGTTGGTTTTATATTTCCTGTTACATTGTCTTATAAAACTTATGAAAGGATATATGTTTTGGTCATCCTGTATTTAACAGGTCCAGTTAAATTTACACTTAACATTTGTATTTAACTGTATTTAACCAGTCCTAATTGGACTGGTAAGTGGTTAAAATGTAAGAGGTGAGGGTAAGGCATGGCAAAAGAAAGTTAAATCTTTATTTGTTTTGAGAGGCTGCAGTTATAAAATGCAGTAGTTAAAAGTGAGGGCTGGGGGCTGGGGATATAGCTCAGTGGCACAAGTGCCTGCCTGGCAAGCATGAGGTCCTGAGTTCGATTCCCAGTACCAAAAAAAAAAAAGTGAGGGCTGGAGACAGATTGCCTGCATTCAAATACTTAATAGTTTTGTAAATGCTGTAAACTCTGGGCAAGTTAACCTTTCTGTGCAGTAGTTGCCTCTTTAGTAAAATGGACCCAGTAAAAGATACGTTTCTTTTATGATTTATTATGAAAAGTAAGTGAATCTATATTTGTATCTATGTATTGCACTTGAGTTGTGTACATTAATATTAGCTATTATGATGAGAGTTGGTAGTTTACAGGTAATACCTAAAATTGATAAATTAAGAAATAGGAAAAATACATATGTGGAAATAGAGATAACTTTTAGAAGAAATAAGTGAAAGAGTTAAGGCAGTTGTCTCTTGGAAATGATACTGGGGAGTTTATGTGGGGACAGCTGTGGCGTTTAAAATCTTTTGGCACTATTTAATTTGACATATGTATGTTTATTACATTGATGAAAGTTTGGGAAGTGACTAAGTCTGGATTGAAGTCTCATAGTAATGATAAGGAGTGAAGAACATTATAAGAAATACTAGAAAATGTTCTAAACCACCTAAGGCCTATGTAGTAGTTAATCACCTAGAATTCTTTTGGCAACAAGAAAGTTTGCAGTGTTGTGGGTAGAACCTAGGGGCTTGTGCATGCTAAGCAAGGCCTCTACTGCTGAGTAACAACTGCAGCCCCCCATTAAAAGTTTTGGAAGTGTGTTGAACTAAATTAAAATCTATGTTTTAATTAATTTTTTCACTGCAGGAAAACAAAGTATTGCGGACTGTTCCTCTGTTAGAAGCATGCCTCCCCCAGGACAAGTGTAAAGTAAAGATTGGTCGTCGCTTCAGCGAAGAAAGGTAAAGTAACTTTTAGTGCAATTTAAAGTAGCTCTGTTCCACATAGATCTTTCTTTGGAAGGGTTAAAGTTATGCCACTGGTAGTTGGAGAGAAAAGCTGTGGTAGAGGGCAACGAAGTTTGGGAAGCCTAGAGAGCAGCAGGTTTACAGCTACTGAGTCAGTAGAGTACGTAAGGTTTTGAGAGTTTTAATTCACATTTCCTTAACAATTAGTATCTTTAATTAGACAGATAATTAGATGGGGGGAACTTTTATTAGGAGTCCAGTAAACATAATAAAACTTTTATTTTCCCCACAAGCTAATAAAGATATATTTATAAAAACTTTTTTTTAGAGATACTGAACTTTCAACTGTCTGCCGGAAGTCTGGTACATTAATATTCTATCCAGGGGCCGAAGCTGCTAATTTGGAAGAATTTATATTAGATTCTGCTGTTTATCCTTCCACAATCATCATCATTGATGGTACATGGAGCCAGGCTAAGGACATTTTCTATAAAAATCCCTTGTTCCGCCTTCCCAAACAGGTACAGTGCTGTTTTAATAATAATGCAAATATATAATTATGTATATTACTTACATTTTCTGTGAAGGGATATACATATATTTTTATATGTGAGTTTAGTGGTATTTATATGTGTAAATGTATGCACCTAGATGTGTATATCTCTGTGTTTGATATATATATTCCTATTATATATGTATAACATTTCAAATTTGTTGTCCTTTGCCAACTCTTACTGCCATACTTCAATGTAAGTTAAACATTGTGCTATATTGAAGTTTTCAGATACAAGAGCTACTATGGTGGTAATTACAGGTGCCCACCTGTATTCTCAGTACTTGGGAAACTGAGGCAGTTGGATCACTGTGAGCTTGAGGCCAACCTGGGATAATTGCTGCTTCTTGTGATGCCCTCAGGCCATCTTTTCTATTCTCCTGTTCCTTCTCAGCAATAGAGATCTCCTCAGCCTTATCTTTGCAGTCCACAGCATTACTGGAGCTTTCTGGCCAAACGCACAACATTTTAAATCATCCTGCTGGGCTCTTTGCTCTTGAGTCTCAATATATATCTGGCTAAAGGCCCCCAACAATAGCCAGCCTGAACTGCATAGTGAAACCATATCTCAAAAAACCACTATGTCCAAAAAAGAAGTTTTTCAGAGACTCAATCAGAGAAATCTCAGGATTATTTTGATTATTTTCTACATGCATTAATTTTTTTTGTTAAGGACTGTTACCATATTTAAATACTTTTATTACTAAATTATCTAGTTCTCATTAGGATTGACTAATTTTTTTAAAAAATTTTTTTGATACTCATTATTATAAGAATTTTCATTCAAGTTTTGTTGTTATTAGTTGTGATACATTTCCTAATACTGAATCATTCTGTGTTTTGAAAGTAAGATCTACTGAGTAGACTATCAAAACATTTTGAGATATTTTGCTTACAGTTATGTTTTATTTAATAGCATTGAATTGTAATACAGTATACATATGTTTTTTGTATTTTCATTATCAGGTTAGGGTATTAAAGCAATGTTAATGTTCCCAAATAAATTGGAAACATTTTAATTTTTTCCTGTGGACTGGAATAGTTTAAATAATATTGAAGTTCATTTCTTTTTAAAAATTTTGATGGAGGTCTGTGGAAACCATCTGGGTCTGGTCACTTTAAAAATGGTAGCTTTTAAATCCTTTCAAACTCTTTAGAAATTATTTCTCCTTATATTTGGGTTCATTTCAAAATAATGTTTTTTTATTTCTCTAGGGACTTTTTTTCTCTCCAGGTTAACAAATTGGTTGCCATATATTTACATACATTTCCAAGTATTTTACTTTTTCCTAAAGATGTGTTTTATTTGTGATCCTGTACACACAAATATACACGTTTTCTATGAATAGTCAAAACAGGCTTACTGTTTTATGAGCACTTACAAATATAAGTTCTTAGGTTGTTTATAATGATGACCTTTATACCTTATTTTTGCTTAATTTACTTATCTTACTCTTTTTAAAAGTTTAACTGACATATAATTATGTGTACCCTACAGGGTTTTGATACATGTATTCATTGCGTAATGATCAAATCAGGTATTTAGCATACCCATCACCTCAAACGTTTGCCATTTGTTATGGTGGGAGCATTCATATTCTTTCCTGTAAATGTTTTGAAATACAGTCTACAATACTGTTGACTTTATTTTATTTATTTATTTATTTTTTTGTTTTTCTCCGGTACCAGGAACCGAACTCACGACCTTGCGCTTGCCAGGCAGGCGCTTTGCCGCTGGGCTAAATCCCCAGCTCCAATACTGTTGACTTTAGTTACCATACCATGCAGGTAGACACCAGCACTTGTCTTTCTGCCTGACTGTAACTGCGCAGTGACCTGACTCTGCCTTTCCCCATGTACTCTCCTTCCTCCATCCTCTAGTAACCACTGTTCTTCTCTCCATTATGAAGTCACCTTTTTAGATTGCATGGATGAGTGTGTTCATGTGGTGGTTTGTTTTTTCTACACCTGGCTTATATACTTCATGTTATTTTCTCCAAGTTCATCCATGTTTCTGCAAATTAGAGAATTTTACTTTTTTATGGCTGATTAGTATGCTGAATAGTGTATACATACACTACATTTTCTTGACCCATTCATCCATTGATGGAGATTTAGATTGCTCCCATATTTTGGATGTTATGAATGGTGTTAGAGTAAATATGGGAGTACAAATATCTCTCCAGCACACTGACTTCCTTTCCTTTGAATCTATACCTGGTAGTGTAGTTGCTGGGCCATGTGGTAGTTCTGATTTTAATTTTTGAGGAGCCTCTATACTGTTTTCTGTGAGGGTTTTATTAATTTACATTCCCACCTTTATAAGAGTAGTCTTTTCTTTAGGTACATGAGATCATTTGATGTTGTCTTTTTGAAAACAGCCATTCTAATTGGGGTGAGGTTATATCTAATTTTGGTTTTGATTTACATTTCCCTTAATTAGTGATTGTTATGGTTGAAACATTGCGTCAGTTGGGGAGTCTAGAGGTTTGGCTAAGTGACTCAGCAGCGGACTGGTTAATCTGGCAAAAGGAATTTCAAGGCAGTCAAATGTTGGGGAAGTTGCATGGCTATTGTTGGGGGCCTTTAGCCAGATATATATTGAGACTCAAGAGCAAAGAGCCCAGCAGGATGATTTAAAATGTTGTGCGTTTGGCCAGAAAGAAAGCTCCAGTAATGCTGTGGACTGCAAAGATAAGGCTGAGGAGATCTCTATTGCTGAGAAGGAACAGGAGAATAGAAAAGATGGCCTGAGGG